GTCGTAGTCTATAACGCAAGAAAAGTGGAGAGTGTGTTTCTAAGGCTTCTATAGCGTTTCCATGGTTACGTCCGTCAAGGTCAGTGGAAAATTCAAATTTTTACCTCTATACTTCAACATTCTTCTTCGATCGTATTTCAAAAACTGAAATTTTATATTTTATTTATTTTACTCTTCTTTAAGGTCAACCATTTTCCGGGTTCATTTCAAATTGGCCGAAAAGATCGTTTATGGAGAAATTTATCACATATGCAAGCTGTACATTCAAGACGTGAATTTGATTTTGTACCACAAACATTTGTCTTACCAGCTGATCTCTTATTATTTAAACGTGTATTTGAAGAAATAACAGATACTAAAGAATCAAAATGGATTATTAAACCAGTATGTATTTTAAAATTAAAATATATTTTCTTTTTCGTTAGTAAAGAAAAAAAAAATAAATGTTTTTTTTTTCAGCCAGCTAGTGCCCGAGGGCAAGGTATTCGAGTAAGTGTTGTTTTTTTCTATTATTTGAAATAATGAAAGAAAAATATGTTATTTATTTAGGTCATTAGTAAAATGGAACATGTGCCAAAAAAACGTCCAGTAATTGTACAAAAGTATATTTTTATTTCAAAATGTGAATTATAATTTGTTTATTTTGTTTGATAAAATAGATATATTGCTAATCCATACTTAATTAATGGACATAAATTTGATTTAAGACTTTATGTTTATGTTACATCACATGATCCATTACGAATATATCTTTTTGATGATGGTTAGAGTTTGTGTGTTTGTTTTTCTTTTTGAGATTTTTTAAAAATAATTTTTGTACTATTTTTTTTTTAAATAGGTTTAGCTCGATTTGCTTCAAGAAAGTATGTATTGTTTAAAGAAAAAACGAAAAGAATTTTTAATAGAATTTATTTGAAAATAGATATTCTTCATCAGTTAAATCATTAAGTGATCGTTTTATGCATTTAACGAATTATTCAATTAATCGTTATAATAGTGAATATAGAACAAATAATGATACAGCTGCATGTACTGGACATAAATGGTAGGTTTGATAGATATTTAAAAAAAAAAAGATTTCTTTTTATGAATTTCCTATATAGGAGTTTAAAAGCATTGTGGACGTACTTGAAAAAACGTGATATTGATGTAGCAGACATTATGGAAAAAATTAAAGATTTAATTATTAAAACAATTATTAGGTTTGTATGACTTAATTATAAATCAAGCATAATCTTGATTGACTAAGCCTAAACAGCCTTTTTTTTAAACTTCTCGTTCTTCAAATCTCAATGTTTTTAGCAAATAAATTAATTCTATTTAGAGATCAATGTATTGATTATGATCGCATTAGAAAAGCTTTTTTTTCCCGATAGACTAGATCTATTTTATCATTAAGTTTCATGTCAGTGAATTTCTAATATTGGTACCTGAGTACAGGAGATACTGAAAATTTTGCTATGTCTACAATGAAGCCGATCTATGATGAAGTACGACATCGGGTTGAAAAATTTATAAAGATATTAATAATTCAAAAAGATTCATAGATTTAGGCATGGTTTCATTGTTCACACTTCTCATTGTCCTAAAACAAAATTCAAATATCATAGGAAATAATCGTAAATATAAAATCAAAAACAAAAAACTTTTCTAAAATATCGTTATCAATTCATTAAGTTCGAAATCAGAAAAAAAACCGTAAAACTATGTTCAAGTACTCATCAGAGATGGGATCGGTTTGGTTTCGATTTTGAAAAATCTTAACCAAGCTCATCTCTGATACTCATCATTATTTGATCGTAACATCGATTGTCTTTTTTTCTCTAAAACACGATATAAAAGAAGTGTTGAAGAAGAAGGGTAAAATTTTGCGCCCCCCCCCCTTCGCTCCGCTTTCCATAGACATTATATTAATTATGTTTCAAACTAGATCAAATAAAACAATCTCCCATTATTTTGTAAGAGCAGACACAGCGTTTAGCATTTTAATCTCAAAAGAATTGTGCTAATAGGTTTTTTTCTTCTTTTAATATTAAATTCTAGTGCTGATGCATACGTTAATGTATTGACAAAAGCTAATGTCCGACGAAAATTTAGTGTTCATGAACTTTTTGGTTTTGATGTTATATTTGATGAACAATGTAAACCATATATTGTTGAAGTAAATATTTCTCCAAGGTAAAAAAAAAACAGTTTATTTTTGTTTTGTTTAAAATAAAATCAATAAAAAATCTAACTTTTATTTCTTATTAGTTTACATTCAAATTCACCATTAGATATTAGTGTAAAAGGTGCGATGATAAGTGATTTACTTAATTTAAGTGGTTTTATGATACCGGATCGACGAGATATTTTATATGAAGGTTCAGCACGAAGGTAACACTGATGATTATATATAACTTACATAATAAAGTTATATTGCTTTTTTTTTTCTTTTCTATTATAGAAAACCAAAATTACCAAAAAGTCTTATATTCGATCGTCGAGTTCTTCCGCAAGGATTATCAACAGATGAAAAACTTAAACATCAATATTTTACTCAACGTTATCATGATGAAGTAAAAAGAAAATAGAAATTTTATTTCCTTCAAAAAAAAAAAAAAAACAACTACTTATTTCTTTTTGTTATTTTTCTTCTAGCAAGCCCGAAGAAATATTCTTGATGTTTTAACACCAGATGATTTAAGAATTCTAATTGAAACAGAAGATGAATTTTCACGACGTGGTTCATTTGAACGTATTTTTCCAACAAGTCAAACACGAAAATATTTAAAATATTTTGAAACACCTCGTTATTATAATTTACTTTTAAATGAATGGATTACAAAATACAATCGAATGGAAGAAAGAGGTATAAAAAAGAAAAAAAACAAAATTCAAATTAGAAAAAAAATAATAATATAAAATTTTTATTATTATTAGGTATCACACATTTAAATACATTTTGTAAAAAAGGAATTCATTCACAACATCCAGCTATTGATCCAAATCATACGGCAAGAAAAATAATTTCGATTATAGATATTTTTATATTTGTTTTGTATTTAGTGGACGCAATATCAAAAACTTCAAGGACATTTATCTCATCGGGATAATGACAATACAAATACAAATGGTTCTTAGTAAATAACTCTTACCCGATGGTGCTTTTCTTTTTTCTCATTCTTTGCCTTAATTTATTTTATTTTTGTTTCATTTTCTTTTTGGGTGTGAACCTTCAACGGTGACTTTTTATTTTATTTCTATTTTTGCTCATCGTAAATACCTATGTGCCTTATTGTATATATACATATACTATCAAACATTTATATTTTTCCCTTGTAGGCTGAATTTTTTTTTCTATATATATATATATTATTTTTTCTGTTCAATAAAATGTATCTCATTGTTGTGCCTTGTTGCTAAGAATTCTCAATGAGAGCTGGAAACTATTTTTAATTATTATTTCAATGAAAAATATTTTCATTTTTTTGAGAAGTATCATTTTGATATTTATATACATAATAAATTGTATTATTGAATTGAAATAATAAAAACGAACTTATTTAATTTAATATGGTTTTGGAAAGTAGAATAGACAATAGAGAAGTGAAATAAATTATAAGCAACAAGAGACAACCAAAATGTAAATTGGTTGAAAATGTGAAACAGGCAGTTGTTTTACTGCATAGAAGATACATTTGTGGTTAAAGTAGACTAAGGATAAGCATATTAGAATGCAGAGTCGAGAAGGAAACAGCAGACTTCACTCTAGAAGTCTCTTAAAGTTTTGAGCTGTTCACTTCTTGGGTAAGGATTAGAAAATTTTTGTCAGTTAGGGTACAAAATACGAGAAAAGCATGGCCTGCACATCTCTAACAGAAGACTAATTAGACAACCTAAGACTATTTTTACAATATTTTCGGATTAGTAAAATTATTTTTGGATTTTTTGTATAACTTCCGATCATTTATAACTATCGAAGTTGGATTTTCGCCATTAGATAGAACAATGTTGGGCGCGTCTATCTGTGTAAAATTCATCAAAACCGAAGAAGTTTTTCAAGAATATTTGTACATGAACGTGATTTTCGCTGCCACCTATGCTTGAAGTTACACCAAAATGTAGCTCGAAAAGTTCTGTATTCCGGGTAGAATGGCTCGATTTTTTCATTCTTACATTGGACACACGCTTCAAGAGAAGTGTTCTGAAATCTGAAAATTTTGTGGGTAATACAACTGTCTTGAGGCTGCATTTTGGTGTAATTTGAGCATAGATTCTTACGAAAAGTTGTAGAAATAGGCAATAAGCAACATGTTTACGTACAAATATGCTTGAAAAACTTCTTCGAACCGGATAAATATTACTCATAAAAATGAAGATTAGCATTTTAGACAAAATCCGACAATAGTTCAGTTTTCTCTGAAATGAATTCAATAGATTGTTTCGAATGTTATAGGAAGCATAATAAAACGTCTTTGGTTTTAAGTTGACAAAACAAAAAAAGAAAAGAGATATGATTGAAATTGTCATGAAAACGAGAGAAATAACGAATTTAGGTGAGTTACTGTTTGAAAACAATCATAAGTAAAACTTTTAAAAGTTATACAATACAAATAAAGCTAGACTAACAAGAACTTCGGTATATAAATATCAACGAATTTAATTCAACAGGAACTACGAAATAGAAAGATATAAAGACTGTTGATAGTCAAAGAGTACGGCATTTTTTCTTGTGAATATATATCAATACGAGAAAACTATAATAGATGTCACTAATTTTCAATAGAAACGGGCATTGGATAGATTCCTAATGGACTATTTTGGAAATCCATGAAGTACTAATCTCTGATTTCAATAAATAATCATTGTTCGATGAAAGATGTAATATTTGAAGTATTATTCCACAAAAACTCTCATTTTTTCTTATTATGACACTTTGAAAATAGCAAAAGCTTTATTTTAAATGATTATAAGTTATTTTCTATTTCTGATAATCTTACTATATTTTAGATTAAAACATGGAATTCGATCATCGACAATTATTATCACTTTTAGATGAGTTAATGAAACCAATATCAACAGTAAAAAGTAAATTAAATATGTTTTTTGTTTTCTTATTTATACTAATATAATGAATTTCGTTCTTATTGTCAATGTGAAACGTTAAAAACTACATCTAAACTTTGATATAATCATACATTTCTTGTTAGTTAATCATCAGAAATCAAATACGAATAAGTTCATTTTTCTGTTGATTAATTTATCTGTTTAATTGAGAAAAAACAAAAAAGTTCGATTAATAAAAATTTCTTTGTTTTAGTTTCTAGTGAAGACGAAGAACAACAACAAATCTTAACTATCAATCTGATATTTTCTAATGCTATTGATCATTTTCTTGAAATAAGTAAATCTATGGATTTAATAATTCCATTAAATCAAGATGAACAAGTTTATTATCGTTATTTACAAATTCATATAAATCTGATTGAAAAAATTCTTTCATATGAACAAAAAAATTTTTCATCACATTTACCATTATTTAGTATACAAGATGAAACAATTCTAAATCGTTCATTATCATTTATTATTCTTCTTGGTCTTGTACTTCATTTTGATGATGGAATATTTATTTCCATAGAAAATTATTTAAAATATTCAAATACATCAATACATTTATTAAAATTAAAAACACTTTTAACTCATCATAATCGAATGTATAATCTTAATCAAATATTAAATTTTCTAATGAAATCAATTAGAAATTCAAATAAAAATTCATTTTTTATACAATATTTATATAAAAATTATTTATTAGAATTAATTCTAAGTCATTTACAATTACTTTATTCACCTAATTTAAAATATTCATCGGAAATATTTTTATCAATTTATCTTCAAGATAATTTAAATTATTTAAAAGAAAATTTTTCAAATCAATTTATTCAACAAATTTTATTATTAAATCGTTTATTATCAACAACAATCAATAGTCCTCTATGGCTTAAAAATCAATGTGGAAATCTTTTAACATCCATATTAATTAATTCAAATAATCATGGTATACAACAAATACTTGAAACAATATTTGAATCAACATTACCTAATGATCATTTATATATATCAATAGCTAAAATACTTTCAACATGTCCAAAACAATTAAAACCTGATGAATATATTCAATGTATTAAATTTCAATTTATTCAACTTATACATAATCAACGTTTTATGCCTGTTATATGTATATCAATAAATGATTTATTTAAAAAATATTCTAAATTAATTGAAAATGAAATATTTTTAATATTATTTCAACCATTATTTATATGTCATAAGAATTTATCAAATGAAATTTGTACAAATGAACAATTTGAATTATTTATTAATGATTTATATAATTTAATAAGTATTGTATCAAATGAACAAATAAGAATTTATTTATATGAAAATTATCTTAATGAATTAATTAATATTTATATTGCTTTAGAAAAATCTTTATCATCATTAAAAATTCAATTTTTAAATATATTAAAAATTTTATTTTCATCAATGAATATTGATATATGTATTGAATATTTTAAAAAAATTTTATTTGATTTTAAATATCTTTCATTAAAATATCTTCCGGATTTATCAATAAAATATAATTTAATTATTGATAATGATTATGAAAATAATATTGAAATATATTGTCAATCAATAATTAAAATTTTATTTTCTATTGATAATAATGATTGTTTAATTGTTAAAATATTTCTTGATTTATTACAATTATTAATAACAAATAAACAATTAAATCAAGCATCTATTTGGACTGAAAATGATAAACAAATAAATATAAAACAATGTAAAATTATGCTAATTTTAAAATATATTATGGAATATTTAACAGAACATATTGATATATTTATTAAAAATGTTGATGATACTATTAAAGTTATACAGGTATGAATAGATTTGTGTTTTTTATTTCATAAAAATCAATCTGAATATAATGGATATCTCATGAGAAAATGTTTTCAATTTATCAATCACGTTTGAATTCCGACTTTATGCATAAGATAGACTGCAGTGAAGTATGAAAAATCTCAAAAGGATAAGCCACTTTAGACCTTTTGTTCAGAGTTATAAATATTTTACTAGAATCCAAGCCTTCGACTGGGTATATATCAACAAATTAAATGGTGGTTTTTTGACCTGAGATTTTGCCCACAGATAGATCTTTTTATCAGTAAAGTGCCCTAAAAATCTCAACTCAGAAGAGTATTTTCTTACCGAAATTTCAAAGTTCTAAAAATACTTCTGTTCCGCGAGGAGTGCTAGAATATTCTGTTTTTTTGCACTCTAATATTTAGCAAAGAAAATATTCCTCTGAGGTGAAATTTTCAGGGTATTCTACTGGCAAATAGGTCTATTTGTTGACAGCATTTCGATCTACAATGCTGTCATTCGATTTGTTGATATAAACCAAGTCAAAGTGTAAAGTTCCAATAATAGCATATAACTCTGAAAAGAATTCTAAGAGAATTTATTCTCTTAAATTTTTCATATATCTCACTGAAATCTATCTTATTCACAGAATATCTACTTATTTGTCCCACTGCAACAGTTAAAAAACGAAAAACTAGTGAAGATTTTTTAATAAAGGTTCCAGTGAAATTTCAACTATCTCACGAAATTCTCCATTAAATTCTGTAGCTTTGATTGCATCTTTCAAAGTTTTTGAAGTACAAACTATGATAAGATCGGAAAAAAATAGCCTTTTCCCAGCAGATTTATACCATTGTTGTTTTTAATTCGAAATAGTTAAATATGTTC